TGCAAATTTTCTAAACCTATACCAACCACAACCTCCCTGCAATTACCCCCACGATTTCACATACGACACGCAGTTTCTGTCCAGAAAGTCCCTGACATTGCAATAATTGGTTTTTAATTTGAAATCACAAGAGAAATGGGGATGAGATGGGGGTGGGAAGAGGAATGGTCATTTAACTGGGCAAGGACACGTCTTGATGTGGTCTTTGAGGAAGATGCTAACCCAAAATGCAACAGCACTGGAATGATGGACTCATATTGAGGGACCTTCTAGTTCTGTCAAACTAGATGGAAAGTTGGATTAGAAGCAGGAACCTCACTGAAAACAGATGCTGTCGTTTTTTTTGTTTGTTTGTTTTTGTTTTTGTTTTTTTCCCTTCTTTGTAAATAAGTTGAGAGTCCAAGGGGAGAAAGAGTGATCAGTACCTTTGAATACTCAAGAGTAGCTTCAATCTGAGGAGCAGAGTGTTTATTTGAACCGTTTTGCATCATGGCCACTAGAGGTAGGTTTGCTGTGGTCAACCTGGCTGCCTGCTGAGGAGACCTGGAGCAAAGCACTTGGCACCATTAGGTTGTGGAGACCCTCTGCATGCACTATTGGACCATGCTTGGAATCCTGTTACATAGTTTAGCACTTGAACTAGAGCTCCCTTGGGCATCATATTTGTTAAAATATTCCCTCTTTGAGACATTACCAGTTTCAGATTGTAAATGGCAAGCCCCCTTCTCCATGTATGTTTTTGGCCAGAGCTTTCATTGTTACAAAGCATCTAATGTGTAGGATTTACATTCATTCCCCACTAGAATGTAAGCCCCTTGAGGAAAAGTACTTTTGTCTACTTTCTGAGCTGCTATATCCCCAGTACCAGGGACAGTGCTAATAACTGGTTTGTTTTCTCTGGCCTTGAAAGTTGGGAAAAGTGAGATCAAGGAACACAGGGAATCTGTTAGTGAGATTAATAAACCGTTGCTCCAAGCAATCTTTAAATAAGCAGAATGCATCACACCAAGGGCTTTAAGTGTGGAAGAGTGAGATGACAGAATGCTCCTGATAACATAGCAACTGACCCATGAAAGGTCAATCACTCCTGCTTTGTCCTTGTCTCCAGGATCAACACCTTCCTATCCATCTCTACCCTGGGACCAGGAGGAGCTTTCTAAAACACAAACCTGACTTCCTGTTTTCCCTAGTTCTGCTCACCCCCTGCTTGAGAAACACCAAATGCCACAGAAGGCTCTTCTTGATCTGCCCCATCCACACTTTCTGCCCTCTTCCCTGGCCCTGCCTCCGTAGTAGCCCACGTGCTGGCCACACACTCTTCTGCACTTTGCTGGACATGTCCTCAGAAACATTGGCCTCTGCTCTTCCCTTCCCAAAACGCCTTCCTCAGCTGGCCAACAATTTTGATTTACACCACTGAGCTCCGCACCATCTGCTTTCTGAATTCTTTCTGATTTATTGTTCCCCTGTGCCCCGAGAGGTCCCTCATGCATCTGGGGCAAAACTCTGTGATACTGTGCTGCATTGTATTGTAATCACTTGGATATTCCTCTTCCCTGCTAAAGGGGAAGAGTCCCAAGGACATGGAGACTTATTTCCTTGGCCAATCCAGGGCCAGAAAAGATCCCATAGAAAAAAAAA